GTGCAGCGCTGGACGGAGCAGATCCAGGACGGGACCTTCCCGGGGAAAATCTGATCGTCTGCGCGCGGCTCCTTCGAGGGACCGGCCAAGGGCCCCATCCCTTCGTCTCCCCGAGACCCGGCCCCGGCCCCCCACCCCCAGGTCTCTGAGCCACAAATAAAGCTGTGCCGTTGCCGCCGGTTCTTCCTCTGTCTGCTCACTGCGCAGCCCGAGTTCTGATGATGAGGGCCGGCGGCGGGCTGGGATGAAGGGAGGACTGTCGGATCTCTGGGGTAGGAGCAAACCCGCCCGCCCCCGCCCCCAGGCAGCAGCCGCCAGCTCTCCCGGTGCAACACTCGCCCACCAGCTCCCGCCTCCCAACCGCCACACCTTCCTGTCACCTGAACCCGCCATCCCCGTCCTCAGCAGCTTCTCCTCTTACCTGGACCGCCTCCCAGACTCCGCCAGGCTTTCTCCCCAGGCCCCCCACCTCAGGTCCACCCGGCGCTAAGAACCCCATTCCCCCCGACCCTTGCCCTGCTCCCAACCTGTTCCGGGCTCTCCTGCCCCCATGACTCCACTTCGCTCTCTGCGTCCCGATCCGGCAGGTGAGCCCTCCTCACAGCTCCTCCCCGTGCTGGCCGCTCACATAGCACCCACCGCGGCCAGGCCAGCCTCCTCCCACCGGCTCCAGACACGTCACTCCGTTCCTCCCGCAGACCCTTGCAGACTGCGCTCCCGGACGCTCAGAGGCCCCACCGGAATTATTTTTTAAAAATATTTTTATTGATGTCAGAGAGGGAGAGATAGAAACATCAGTGATGAGAGGGAATCATGGATCAGCTGCCTCCTGCACGCCCCACACTGGGGATGGAGCCCACAACCTCCCAGCGTGTGCCCTGACCGGGAATTGAACCATGACCCCCTGGTTCACAGCGACGCTCATCCAGGGAGCCAGCCGGCCGGGCCCCCTTAATTAGCCTTTGCTTCCCACAGCCAGGCTCTCAGGTGACAATGCGGTGATGTGATTCCTCCTGATTTAACCCCTCGCAATGTCACCTCTGCGGCCCCCTTCACCCCGGCCCCAGGCTGAGGAGGGACCCTTACCAGAGACTGGGCGTGGCCCCACCTGCCCGCCAGCCCCTGCCCCGGCCCCGGAACATTGAATGGCAGTTTCTGCCCGCAGCCATCGCCTCCTCAGAGGCCCCTTCAACCCCAGCGTTCAAAGGTGGCTGTTGCTAATTACACAACTTTCTGGGTGACCCTGGACCAGCCCGTTGACCTGCCTGCACCTCAGCTGTAACCTGACCCAGTTTCCCCAGCTGTAAAGGAGATACTGCCAAGTCCCATGATCCGGAGAGACGACGGGAGGGGGCAGGTCAGCTCAGGGGAGAGCCAGCTCCGTCCGGGCCCCTCACCGCCTCCATGCCCTCATCACCCCACCCTGGGCACACCCCAGGTGTGCCATCTCCCAGGTGCCCCACCCCAAGACCTTGGGCCCCAGGGATCCTCTCTCGGACCAGGACCAGAGAAGCAGGAGGAGAGGGCACAGGGTAGGGTGCGAACTGGGCCACACAGACCTGGTCACCACAGGAGGGGCCTCCTGGGAACTCCCCGCACGGAGGCCGCAGGGCTGCAGAAGGAAGCAGGCAGCGGTGCCACGCGGGCAAGGCAGCTCTGAGTCACAGGATGGGTGACGGCTGTCTGAGCACCCGGTGAGGTCACCCAGGTGGCGTGCGAGCACAGGGCAGACACCTGTGCCGCCCAGCCCGGATCCGGACCTCACAGAGCACAGGCCTCCAGTGCACTAGGCCCCGTTAGCCAGCAGCCCCTCCCAGTCTCCTTCCTTCACTCCCTCTTGGGCCAGGGACCCTCCCCACCACCATCCCTCCATCACCTCTGGGACATTTAATTTTAAAGTGATGTATTTTTGAAATATAGATCTAAAGCCATGTTATTGATTTCAGAGAGAAAGGGAGAGGGAGAAAGAGATAGAAACATCAATGATGAGAATCATCGATCGGCTGCCTCCTGCAGGCCCCACACTGAGGATCCAGCCCACAAGCAGGGCATGTGCCCTAACCGAGAATCGAACCGTGACCTCCTGGTTCATATGTCAACGCTCAACCACTGAGCCACGCTGGCTGGGCTGGGCTATATGTGCTGCTCTCACGTGAATGTTTCTCTTCCTCCCTTCCTCTCTCTCTAAAAATCAATAAAAAGTTTTTTTTAATATATTTTATTGATTTTTTACAGAGAGGAAGGGAGAGAGATAGAGAGTTAGAAACATCGATGAGAGAGAAACATCGATCAGCTGCCTCCTGCACATCTCCCACTGGAGATGTGCCCGCAACCCAGGTACATGCCCTTGACCGGAATTGAACCTGGGACCTTTCAGTCCGCAGACCGACGCTCTATCCACTGAGCCAAACCGGTTTCAGCCAATAAAAAGTTTTAAAAACATAAAATGTGTTTCACCGACGCTGTGGGGAGGATGCGGTGGGTCCTCTTGCAGGGCGTGTAGGGCCTCTGTCTATACCAGTGATGGGGAAGTCTTTGTTTGACTATGGTTGCAATTATCAAAAAATTTCTATATGTGACACGGCACCAGAGTTAAGTTAGGGTTTTTCAAAATGCTGACAGGCCGAGCTCAAAAGGTTCCCATCACTGCTCTAGTGGGTGGAGGCCAGCAGCTGCTCCTCACCCTGGGAGAAGGGGCGGCTCGGATGGCAGCCGGGCCGGGGCCAGGCCTAAGCGCCGGTGTCTAACCTGGCTTTTGGGTTCCAGACACTGGCGAGAATCGAAGGCTCCACACCCTCTCATCCCAGGATGCACATGTGAGTATGTGGTTCCCGCAGATAAAATAGGGTTTCGGGGTTCTCGGAAGCCCCTGCTCACGGAGGCCAGGGAACGCTTGCTGCCTATCATCTCTGCGTAGAAGCCAGTGATGGCTCGAGTTCTGGCATGTTCGGAGGGACCAGCTCTTTAGTGACTGCCTGTCGGCCACCTCTCCTCCTCCTCTTCCCCCGGCTTGCTGACTGGGAGGCCCCCCTCCTCATTTCTAACATCACCACGAAAACGAACAGGGTTCAGTGGGATTTGCGTGGGAGACACACCTTCTCGGTCCGAAAGGCACACAACAGGCTGGCTGCAGGCAAACACCAGGAATTTCAAAGTCAAATGTTACCTGCGCCCTGGCCAGTGGTGCTCAGTGGTCAGAGTGCCGGCTCACACACCGAAGGGTCATGGGTTCGATTCCCGGTCAAGGGCACATACCTGGGTTACAGGTTCGATCCCCAGTCCCAGTTTGGGGCGCTTGCGGCAGGCAATTGATCCACGTGTCTCTCTCACATCCACGTTTCTCTCTCTCCCTCTCCCTCTTTTTCACTCTCTCTCTAAAAATCAATGGAATAAAACATCCTCGGGTGAGAATTAACAGCAACAAAGCCAGCTGCTCAGAAGCACGCAGGTCCTCCTGTGGCCTCACTCCCCCTGCTGAGGTCCCCGGTGCCTCAGGCACATGGCCTGGCCTCGCCAACCTCCAGCGTCAGCTTCTGCAAGGCCGGCCCACACGGAGGAGGTGGACGGGGCCTGAAGCCCACCCCTGACCTCAGAAGGCTGCGGCCTGTCCTCCGTGAGGCCAGGGAGCCCTGGCTAGTTGTTCGCGGTTAGTATTTCCTTCTGTAAAACGGGGGTGAGGTGAGAATGAAGAGACAATGGTGAAATCAAGATACTGAACCGGGCCCTGGACAAGCAGCTCAGTTGGAGCATCAACCCGATACTCCAAGGTTGCAGGTACCATCCCTGGCGATGGCACCTACATTCAACCAATGAATGCATGAGTGAGTGGAACAACAACCTGATCTCTAAAAATCAGTTAAAAAGAAAAAAGAGCCCTGGCTGGTTTGGCTCAGTGGATAGAGCATCAGCCTCCGGGCTGAAGGGTCCCGGGTTCGATTCCGGTCAAGGGCACATGCCCGGGTTGTGGGTTCTATCCCCAGTGCGGGGGCGTGCAGGAGGCAGCCAATCAATGATTCTCTCATCATTGATGTCTCATCTCTCTCTCCCCCTCTCCCTTCTGCTCTGAAATCAATAAAAATATATATTTTTTAAAAAGAGCCCTGGCCAGTATGCTTAATGGTTAGAGCATCGGCCCACACACCGAAGCGTCTTGGGTTCGAACCCCATCAGGGCTTGTGCAAGAGGCAACCAGTCGATGTGTCTCTCTCACATTGATGTTTCTCTCTCTCTTTCCCCCTCCCTCCCTCTCTTCTTCCCTTCTTCTCTTTCTGAAAAAGCGATGGAAAAAATATCCTAGGGTGAGGATTAACAAAACATAGATACAGTATATACTGAACTGGATCTGAAGACACTTGAGAGGGTCTGTGTGGTCCCACCGAGCCAGGCCAATCAGGACGACACAGGTGGGGTGAGGGAGGGGTGCCTGACACTGCTGGACCTGCTATCTCCCTGGGAAATGGGGAGACCCCCTCCCGCTGGGGGTGGGGGGTCCTGGAAGCATGCTTTCTCAGTGTGATCGCAGGGGGTGGGATGCTGGCTGTACCCAGTCATCGCCCCTTCACACGCCCAAGCTCTCGGGCCCAAAGCCTGGGCTGCCTCCTCTGGGCCTGGTGCCCCCAGCCGGGCCGAGGGCCGCGCCCTCCGGATGGACACGCCCTCGAAATAGAAATAAAAAGAAAGGCTTCCATGGGTGAAGCTTGTAACAAGGTTTTAATAAAATAAAAAGTTCAAGTGCTTCCAACCCCCCAACATACCCCGTTCTGGTGTGGGGGAGGGGAGGGAGCCCCCCACACCCCAGTAGCACCAGGGATAGCACCATGAGAAAGATGAGGTCACACCCGGCCTCCCTGAGACCCACGGGGGTGGCGAGGGTGCGTGGACACCCCCACCTTGCCCCCCACCTCAGACAGTCACAAAGCTGAGAGCAGACCCACTCCCCCCGTGGGGCAGTCTCCACCCCCAAGTCAGTCCCCCTCCGCCAGAGGCTGGGCTTCTGGGGAGATGCCAGGGGTGGCCCCCACCCCTATGGCTTTGCTCCCTGGGCAGGAGAAGGTGGCGGGGGAGGGAATGGCATCTTCAGTCCTGAGGCTGGGGCGGGGGGCGGGGGCG